TGGGTAATTTTCACTGTGATCCTGTGGAGGATTTGTTTGGAAATTTATTGAATTAGGTTGGGCCATTGGGTTATCCCAGTTTCGAGATCTTGTATATTGGTTAAAATTTCTTCGTGGTTGGTAATTTGTTTTTGATGGATGTGTATAATTATAATTATGGTCTGCAAAATTGTTTCTATTGAATGTTTTGCTTGTTTTTGATGGTATTGTCATGGGTCTGTATGTTTGGTAATCCATATGTGAATATTTTGGAGCAACCGAAGGTTTAACGGTTGATTGTAAGGTTACTTGTGTTTGTGAAGGATTTGTATTTCTTGGTGTTGTCAAATTTGGACGTATTGGTGAAATACTTTGTTGTGTAGTTGTTGTGTGTACAATTTCTTCATTTATGAAGTGTGATGGTGTCTGGATATCTTGTTGAGTAAGATTCCTAGTTCCATTGAGGTTTTCGTTATGTATGACTGTAGAGTTTAAACTATTATTTTGTGTATCGGGCAGAAATGTATTATAGTTTAATGGTGTTGCATCAATTGTTAAGGGTATTACTTTTACATAATCTCTTATGTAAGATATTGTACCTATTGCTTGACTTGAGATTGATTGTGGGAAGCTTATAAATGCGGGATGAGACCATTCAGGGTCCCAAACATAATCTGATTGTTCTGTGATAGCGGTATCATCGTTCGAATTTTGGGGTCTAAAATTTTTTCTTGCTTGTGCAATTAAATCAATATTGTGTGTGAAATAATCTATTATGAACCATGCCAAAATTTTTTGTAGATCGTGTTTTGTATGATGTGAAACGTCGTCTTTCGTGAAATTTTCTTTAATAATGTTTAAATAGCTAGAGAGTAGTGTGATTTCATGTCTTACTCTTAAATGTTTAGATGTTTCTGTCGGTGAGACATTTGTTATTGGGATTTCGTTTTCTAATATAGAAATATAACTGTATATTATTGCGAAAACTTCATTAGTGAAAATGGAGTTTGCTCTTTGTGAGTTATAGTATTGGATGCTTTTTATATATTCTGAAAAAACTTTTGAAAATTCTAAATCAAGGTCGTCTGTTTGAATTGTATATTTTCTATTATTATGGTTTGGTGAGGTGAATTCTATGGAGTAGATTCCATACTGTTGTGTTATGTTGCATATATCTTTTAGATAGTGGTCTATGATTTGTCTTTTGATTTTTACATCGGGGAACTTTGTTTTACATGGGCTGATTCCGGGTTCAAATAAATTTACGAGTAAATTTTGACAAAATATGTGTTGTCCTCTATCAGTAGTTGCGTCTACTGTAAAAGGAAAGATTTCATCATCATCTGGAGTTTCGTCACCTGGGGTGTGCGTTGAGCTCATTTTTTCGTTCTATAACTGTTAATATGTAATTATTAATGTGTCTAATTGGTTGATTCCAATTGTACAAATGTACTGGTTTGTGTTTATACTGCTTTTTTATTCTTCTTTTTCCTCTTTGTGATGAATTTGAGGTTGTTTCTGAGTCAGAGAAATATAATTGATCGTGAATTGGGCAATTTTTATCTATTGATTCTTTTAGTTTGTAAAGTTCGTCTAAACTGTTGGTTTCTGATTCTGAAAATGCGTTTCGATTTTTTGAAAATCTTTTTCGTGTTATTTGTCTTTGTTTCGTTATTATTTTTCTTTTTAGTGTTTGTCGTTTTGTTCGAATGTATCCTACTGTTTGTGTATGAGGTGTGATTACAAGGTCGTATTTTTTGTTATCTATTTCACAATTGTGTAAAATGATTGTTTGTTTATTTCCTAGGTTTTTAAATGACATAAGGTTTAGGATGACGGATGCAAAAAGGTGTTAAGTGAATTCTAATTGCTTAAACTGTTAGTCCTTACGATTTTTTGGTTAGCTTAACCTGGGTCTATTTGTTCAGGGTTGGAGAGAAAAGTATATCTATTCCGGAGAATGATTTTTACTTTCTCGTGACTAGTATAAGTTAAGGTGTTAACTTACTTAATCTTACTTAGGGGTAGTGATTGTGTTCAAGGGTTGGAGAATAGTAAATCGATCCACAAGGTTCAGGTATAATTAGAACGCGAGTAGTTCGTTAGATACTATTTTAAACTTACTAAGTCTAAGATTTATCCTGGGTCTGGTAAGAGGGGGGGTCAAGTGAAGGATGAATAACCGAAGTTCTTCACTGTTTATCCTAATTTGAATGATTAGTTTTGTTCAAAAATTTCTATTAGTTCTGGGTTTTTAGAAAGGGTTGGATAGTGAATCGACGTTTGAGGTCGTTAGACACTAATTAAGTGGGTGGGGGAGAACAAAGTTGTTCTGTTTGATCCAAGGATAAGCCTTGATGATCAAATTTGAAATTTAATTAAGTAGAAAATGATTTAAGATCCAAGGATAAGCCTTGATGATCTGATTTTAAAATTAAGTGAGTTTAAATTTTAATAAAATTTTAAATTTGTGTAAAGGAAAGATTTAGTATTTTATGATATTAGTGGGTTTATGATTGCTGTTATGTTTTAGGTGATGAAGCTGGAACAACAGGATGATTTATGATTACTAACCATTTATTGTCATGCTACTAATTTTTATTTTTATTTTCCAATAAATATTTTTCAAACATGTTTTGTATAATACTGCAGAATTTAGGGAAACGATCTGAGATCTTTTTATCAATCGTTATTGTATATTATTAATTTTGTTTAGCGCCTGAAATGATTTTGAAGAGTAACTTCAAGGTTTTATGTTTGCAAATGGAAATCTAAATTCATTGCGGGTAGTATTCTAAATATAAAAGTTTGTTCTGGCTTTTGCCGAACGATCATATAACTATATGGCAAGTTTCTATTTTGTCGTAAGTCGTCTCTGGTTCGAGGTCTTCTTCCAATTCCGGGTAGTTCTGTTATGGTTCGGAATATTGGCTCTGATCTATTGAGTCGTAGAGACATTTCAATTAAATTATTGTCGTATAACATTTTGTAAATGTTTTTGTCTAATTTCTAATCTATTTTGGTTAATTCTAATCTATTAAGGTCTTGTTCGAGACTTATGGTCGCACCAGATGAGTTAGGACTGGAGTGTATAACTCATAGAGTAATTTCGGATAGGGTACACCGTCTGCTCGTCACGCTATCTTATTTTCGGCCGGATAGATTCGTGCAACTTCTTAGTCTAATACCGATCCTAATCTTACTCTTATACTATCTAGTCTCAGGTTGTTTAACTAGTCTCTGCTAGGCTCAATAGATCTAGGGTATACTGGTTTATTGCGGCTGCTGAAGTACTCGGGAGAGTCCAACTAATTTCTAAGTTAAATTCAAATCTCTCTGGTGCTGAAATTACAAGTAACTTCAGCACTTACAAATAAGTGGGTTGTTAGTTAGATGGATCATGATTGGTTAATATTAAATACTTTACATTGGTAAAACATTTAATTTATCCAATCATAATATATAGTTTAGATCAGGTTCCAAAACTCATATGTTGTAATTCCAGCATGATATTGGAAAAAAGTGTCTATACACGTTTTATGGTCCTAGTTTCTATGGCTAAGAGACAATTTTTTGTTGACAATTTTTGTTGTAATTAAAATCAATAGTTGACAATTTTTTTGACAATTTTTGTCGTAATTAAAATCAAAAGTCAAAATTTGTCTTCAGGAATTGCCCGTCAAGCGCATTTTTTTTTTCAAACATTTCATCCAAAAATTGATCAAAGTATGGTACAATGCAATTAGAAACGTTTTCTCGCAGTTGCTGAATTATTTTTCAAACAAAAAGCTACTATAGATCTTTTAAATGGCAGTCAGATCTTAGGTTCAGGGCTTGGCCCTGCCAATATATGAGCTATGTTGTATTGAATACAATAGCTCGCAATCAACTCAATTCAGAAG